ATCAATATCGTTATAGTTTAATAGATAATCCCAACGAGTCTTGAAACGTTTGGAATCTTCAACATAAGCATCATACTCTTCATTCGTTAATGGATTCTTTTGATTGAGATAGCTATAGAAATCTTCGTACGTAAATGGTTCAGACTTGCTAAGGATTTCATTATAATTCTCACCAATTGCTTCATAAGGAAATATTCCTTTTACTGAATTCTTTTGACCTCCAAAATCTTTGCCAAATTCTTTGAGAGTACCACCACTTACATATGCTTGAGCATCAATGAAACGTAATCCAATCAAACCTTTTTGTATACCTCCACTTTTGCGAATAATGAATTGTTTCATTGCTGATGTGGTACCAATTAATGAACTGTTATCAACACTCCATTCAATATTTTCAAATCTATAGTTAAGGTATTCTTTAAAGAGATTGCTATCGAATTTTGCTGAATTAAATCCCAAAACTGGTACATTAAATAGATTTCGATCTAACTTCAAAAGCTTCTCTTCTGAAGTAATTCCAGTCATATCTCTCAATGCATTAACCTTATCATTAACGATATCAACAGATTTCTCAAACATGAACTTGATCCATTTAGGAATGAACTTCTCATCTCTAACATCGAAATGCTTTGTTAACAAACCTTTTGAAGATTTGATACAGCAACTCACTGACAATGGAATCAAACGACTATTGACTATAGTTGATTTACGACTTTTATTCTCATTTTTGATTTGCAAATCTGGAACAGGTTGCTCCATGGTTTCGAAATCATATGTTATATAATACTTCTGAGGTTGCCATTTAAGATCATGTGCTAAGCAATATTCATAAACTGGATTATTAAGAATATGTGGACAATAAGGCTCACTTACCTTCTCTGGAATGTAATTCTTATGGAACTTTCCATCACAATGTGCTTCATGAATAGACATTCTTTTTGGATTCTTTCCATGGACAACATAAGATCTACATTTAGGACATATCCATATATTCGTTAACCTCTCAACATCTGTGATATACATTATGTGAATCACTCTACCTTGACTGAAAAGTAATGCACTAAAGGTATTCTCAAATTTCTCATCAAACCATTGCTCTTGGATATCATAACACTTAGAATCTTCATCATAATCATAGATGTTAACGTTAATACAATGCTTTTTAGCAGACTCTTTCATCTCTTCCATTGACATACCTTTGAATGATTTGATTAATGATTGTGCTTCTTTAGTAGGTCTCTTAATATATTCAAACCCATGATCTTTACATAATAGTTTACGAGCTGCTTGCGTACGATTCACAATATTATATTTCTTTGTATCTTTCAACTTTTGATCTAAGCATATTGCTAAGAATCTATAATTGTTTTTCATATAATTTCATAAACGGCTGTATATATATATTTGTTTTTATATACAAAATTTAAGCATTGCGTTGTCAAAAATCAGTTGCAATTGTCTGTTCTTCAATTAGACTTAAATTTAATTTTTTTCGAATTAATTAACAAATTCATATATTTGATTGATGTCTTTAAAGTAAATATTTGAATTTCGGATTTTGAATAGATTAGTTTGAATTCAATATGATAATTCATTTATTTTAAAAAAATGCTATTATTAGGTCTTCATAAACTAAATTTCTTTGAACAGAAGTTCTGTAACAGGTAAAATGATAATTAGCAGAGCAACCCTAGAATTGTCATAAAGAACTTTTTAAGATTGTATTCAATTATTTGTTAATATTTTCAATTTTTTTTTTCAAAATTTTTAAAATGATTCTATTTTTGTTGATTATTTATCTCAAAATGTAAAATATATTATAGAATTTAAATAAAATATGTAAATATAGTATATAAAATAAATTAAATTAAATATATTAGTTCTAATAATTTTTAATTTTTTTTGAGATAAAGTATGTTTTAAAAATTACAACTTTTTCAAATTAAAATTTTTTATAAGATATCTTTCATTGAAAAAGTTTGATTTTTTTTTCAAAATGATATCTCTCTATCATTTAAAAGAAATCAAAATTCAAGTGAATATATGTTTTAAACAGTCATTTTAATTAATGTTTCTTGGTACGTATCATAACAAATTACACGGGCAGTCAATTTACGAAACACTTGCAGTTGAACAAACATATAACTTATTTAGTTTGCACAAAAAGATTAACAGTGAAGTAACTTTACCAATTAGAGAAGAAAATTTAATACAAATTTGCGATTTAGCTAAAAGTTGTTTACTTGAAGATCCCACAGTTCTTCGAATCAAGCCACGAATTCATATCATTGGTGATGTTCGAGGTAATTATAATCAAATTTGGAGAATGGTTAGTACAAATGAGCCTACAGATCAATTTTTATTTTTAGGTGATTACATAAGCAAAGGAAAAAATTCGATTGAGTTATTTACTCTCATTCTTTGCATGAAATTACTTGCGCCAAAGCAAATCTTCTTACTTAGAGGCAGTCAAGAAACGTCTAAAAAAGCGAAATCCTGCGGGTTTGAAGATGAATGTAATAAACGTTTCAGTAGTGAAGTTTATAAGAAATTTCTCGAAGTTTTTGAATGTTTTCCACTTGCTGCAATTGCAACAAATGATGAAAAGACAAAATCTATATTATTTATGAATGGAGGGATATCGCCAAGTTTTCTCAATATTTACCAACTAGACACAATTCAACGTCCAATTAAAGATATTGAAGGTGGAATTGTCCATGAAATACTCTTTGCTGATCCTAGTTCAAATATTAATCATTTTGGTTCTAAAAAAAATTCCGATAACGCATATATTTTTGGATCTGAAGCAGCTCATGACTTTCTAAAAAGGAATAATTTTGATCAATTGATTAGATCGCATAAAAAAGGAAATCGTACATATCCATTTGGTAATGATCATTCTGTTATTTCAATTTATTCAGCGGGAGGATTAAATTTGTTAGTAAGAGAAGATATGCTTTGCACTTTCTCTAGGATAAATGATTACACATTTGAAAAAAATAATATTTATAATTTCTGAGGAAATTTCTATTTATATGATTCTTTTTCTTTCGTAGACTATATTAATTGTTATTTAAAAGCCACCTTATATTTAATATAATATTATTCATCTGAATTTTATCTCAATCATTTTCGATATCAATTTTCATAAAAAACAATCAATGAATTTTTTGGTATATTTTAAGAGGTATTCACCTGTAGAATTACATGTTATTTTTTATTTTAAATAATTTTCATATTAATTATTTAATGTCTTCAATGAATAATATGGTTATACGCTAGTTTTTAAGATATTCATGTTTTTTATTTTTCTGAGAATAATTAGCCGTTCTAACAAATTCATATATACGATTTTATCAATAAATACATATATATTTATTTTTGTGTTTTTTAATCATGAACACTCGATGGATGAATGGCCGATATCAATTGATAACCTTTAATTTTAACTCAAAATTTATTCAAAAATAGGTTCATACAGGTCGCGACATTCAAGTTGCAACCTCGCGCCGAACAAAATGCAACTTTTCAAAAAAAAAAAAAAAAAAAATCTCAAAAAGTTTGACTTTTTGAATAAAAGATTGAATAGGCATTCAAATTCTTTTAAAAAATTGAGAGAAAAATCAAAAGCTGTAATAAAGTATTAATTTGATTTTCAATTTTAATTAGCATGTAAATATTTTCATTATATCAAATAATTACATTATTATTTTCAAAGAGGTCTACCGACTGAGTGATTTTAACGTCTTTTTTATAAAAAATAACTTTTTTTCAAAAAGTAAAGGGTATGCTATTCTATAGTAGAAACTTTAAAGTTCTTATTTTTAAAAATTTTTAATGATTTCAAATGCAAAGAGTTTTAACAGGTCCTCTGGATATTCTATCCTTATTTTTATTCATTTCATCTATAGCTAAAGCTGCTGTGGAAATAGCATTATTTAGCAACTCCCTAACTTTCCTTTCAAAAAAGTAAAAATCAATATCTTCTAGTTTAATCATAATAAACTCCATATTTTATTAATAAGTTACTTTGAACTTCCATTTAAAGACCTACCTAAACCTTCCATCATAATTTCTCTTGCAACTTCATAGACTGATTGTCTGATTAATTCTTGTACTTCCTCTTCATTTTCTAAATAACCTGTTTTATCCTCTGTACCATCTTTCTTTGGGAGCATTACTTCTCTATTGGGTTTGGCGGTTGTTAAAACTGGATAACGCAAAACATTAAGGAGACTTCCAAAATTACCAACTGCTCCATCTATTCTACTAAGTGGACCAAACATAAGAAGATTATTTTCTTTATATTTTGGATTACCTTTTTCAGCATCATTCGCAAATTCTTCAAATTTCTCCCCAAATCTTTCTCTATTTCCACTAGCTAAAGCCTCTAAACCTATTCTTAATCTAGTGGTGGGCATCTCTTCAAATTCACTTTCGTCTCTGTTTCTAATTATTTTTTCATCAAAAAGAATAGCACTAGCTATAGCATCATTCAATAGTTCTCTTACTTTAACTTTTAAAAAGTCAAAATCCAAATCACTGGTAGGTATGCTCTTTCTAGATGAAGTTGATATCATTTTATTCAAAATTTAAAAAACCTCAAAAAAAATCGAATCTAGCTAATCGATTAGGCTCTAATTTTAATATGTTATTGTATATAAATTATACTTTATATATTTGATATTATTATTTTAAAAAATGCATTCTATTTTTTAATATTTTTTTTTCTATTGTATTTTCAACTTTTTATATGATTTACATCATGTAAACATCTCAAATTTTTTTCGCAATTCACTTTTTGATAAGAAAGAGTTCAAAAAAAATATCTAATGAAATTATTTCAATGTTAAAAGTTTTGATTATTTTAAAAGCTTATTGGAATTGTTATGCTTTTTTTCTCGCAATTGTTTTTTTATTATTATTTTTAATAGAAATTTTAACATAATCAAATCCGAATCCACTTAAAAATAATTTCAATAAAAAAAAAAGCAAAAAAATGGATACTAGAAGATTTGAACTTCTACCATTGCACCAATTGTACAACGCTCTACCCTTAAGCTAAGCATCCTCTTTGTATTTATTCTATTTTTTCTATATGTATTCATGAAAAATGATATATATATCGGGCAATTCTTGTACTTCCTCTTCATTTTCTAAATAACCTGTTTTATCCTCTGTACCATCTTTCTTTGGGAGCATTACTTCTCTATTGGGTTTGGCGGTTGTTAAAACTGGATAACGCAAAACATTAAGGAGAAAATTTTAAAATTTGAAATGATCCAAAGAATACAGAGTATTTTATCAATGTCAATTTATTATCGCTTATACTCGATTCAATTTGCTTTTTAATCAAAAAAGAATTTGTTTCATAAATTGATGATTCAATTGCAGATCTAATTGAATAATTTTTTTTATTAACATATTGAACAAATTCAAATTGTAAGCACTGCTATGATAGTTCATCATGTAATGAATGTCATCAAGGATATTATTTATCACTAACAACCACAGGATCTGAATGTCTAAAATGCGATGAAAATTGTGAAATATGTGTTGGTGCTAATCAATGTAGGAAATGTTCAGATGGATATTATGTTGATGATAATGAACTTTGCCAAAAATGTTCTGCAACTTGCAAGAATTGCACTGGTCCTGGATCAGATGAATGTGATTTGTGCATTGATGGATTTTATAAGCCAACAGGAAGTAAATATCGTGAACAATGTCCAAGTGGATGCGAATATTGTGATTCATCTGGAATATGTAATCAATGTAAATACCATTATTATAAAGGAAGTGATGGAAATTGTATAAGATGTGATGAATCATGTGGAATCTGCGAAGGAAACTCAAATAATTGCATTACATGTAGAGAAGGATACTACTTTTATGGAACTGAATGTAAGCCATGTGATCCAAATTGTAAAGAATGTGAGGGAATTAGAAACTTATGCACAGAATGTCATGAAGGTGAATTCTTGAATGAGAAAAAATTCTGTGTTTCATGTGCTGAAAACTGTCAAAATTGTACTGGACCTACTATTAATCAATGTCAACAATGCTTTGATGGATATAGATTATATAATAATGAATGCTCAAAATGTACAGAAAAGGATTCAAATGTGAAAATGGATTTAAATGTGATCGGAAATTTTTTAAAATTTTTTATTTATTTTTGATTTTTCTTTAGATACAAAGACTTTGGTATTAAATGAAATATATCAATATGTTAAGCACTTAATAGTTGATATAAACAAATATAGCATTCGAACCAAAAATTGAAATTTCAGCATTTTTTCTATTGCTGAAGATGAAAAAATAAAATCGAAATATCGGATTATTTGGATTATTGTTTCCATATTGAATCATATATATCGCTTCTATATATATTATTGCATAATAAACAAAAGTAAAATTATAACTCTTTATGCTAACATTACAGAGTGCAACATGCACATTAAAATTATAATGTTCAATGTGCAACATGCACAATGTATAATTATTGTTTAACGTGCTCCGAAGGTTATTATATATCAAGCAAAGCTACTTCATATGTAGTATGCTCAGAATGTCCAACTAATTGCAAAGATTGTTCATCATCAACTGTTTGTAATAAATGCAATGATGGCTATTATCTTGATAAAAATTATAAATGCCAAGAATGTAGCGAACAATGTGCCACATGCACTGATTTTAGTACATGTACGTCATGTAAAAGTGGTTATTATGCTTCTCCTACTGAAGAAAGCATTTGTATTAAATGTGCAGATAAAAATTGCGAATTTTGCAATAATGAAGGTATTTGCTACGATTGTTTGGATGGATATTTCTTATCAGAAGAAAATAGTTCATGTATTCCATGCCATCAATCATGTGGAACATGTCAAGATTCGACTGATAATTGCGATTCATGTGCAATTGGATACTATAGTGTAGGTGCTAAAAAATGCTACCAGTGCAATAAAAATTGCCAAACATGCATTGAAACTCCTGGTAATTGTACATCATGTGCAGATGGATATTATTTGGATACAGAAACACATCAGTGTGTTTTATGCCATTCAACATGTATACAATGCACAGGACCTCTAATTAGTGATTGTATTATTTGTGCTTCTGGATATTATTATAAAATAGCAACGAAATCATGTGAAAAATGTGATGAAGCATGTAAAGAATGTGTATCTCCTGGAATATATAATTCTTGTTTAGAATGTGCCGATGGTTATTATTCTGAAAATCAATATTCAAGTGGTATAAATACTTGTAAGCCATGCATTGACGGATGTAAACATTGTACTGAAACTAAATGTGAAGAATGCTTTTCAGGTTATATAATTGACGACTTAGGATATTGTGAAAAATGTTCTGATCAATGTGGTCAATGTAGTGGATCAGTTTCTCAATGTACATCTTGTGCAAATGGATTCCATGAAACTGGATTAGATTCGAATGGATTTAAAGTATGTCAAAAATGCATTGAAAATTGCAAGAATTGTGATGATTCTTTAACACAATGCATTGAATGCAATGATCATTTTTATGTATCATCCTCTGGTGAATGTGTAGAATGTGAATCACCTTGTTTTAATTGTAAAGAATCAAGTACAAAATGCACATCATGTATTGAAGGATTTTTCTTTGATGGAATAGAAAGATGCATTCAATGCCAATCACCTTGCCTTACATGTTCTGAATCAGCTGAACATTGTATTACATGTATGGATGGATTTTATTTTGATCCAAGTACATATAGTTGCAAATCATGCCTTGAAAATTGCCTCAAATGCACTGGACCAAGTGCAAATCAATGCAGTACATGCAAAGATGGCTATTATCAAACATATTCAACATTTGAATGCATTAAATGCCATGAAACATGTAAAACATGTTCAAATACTAAATATAATAATTGCAAATCTTGTTATGATGGATATTACATGTCTAAAGATAATGCATGTTTAGAATGTACTGAAGGATGTAATAAATGCACAGATCTTGGAAACTGTGATGAATGTAAAGATGGATATTATATGAATAACCAAAAGAATGGATGTATTAAATGCCATGAATCATGCGGTCAATGTGATGGACCAGGAACAACTTGTAAAAGATGTGCTGAAGGCTATTTACAAAATGAAAACAGCTCTTGTACAAAGTGCAATTCAGTTTGCAAGACATGCGTTGAAACAACAGATCAATGTTCTTCATGTAATGATGGATACTTCCTCTTTGGAACAACTTGTATTGAATGTGATATAAAATGTGTAACTTGTAGCAGTGATGCCACTAATTGCTTATCATGTCCATCTGGAAAATTCTTATATAACGGTGATTGCATTGATACATGTGCATCAATTGGAAACGGATATGGGTCATCTAATGGAAAAGTATGTGAAAAGTGTGATCTTAATCATTGTTTAGAATATGATGAAGCATGCCAATGCACTCTTTGTGATGAAGGATTCTATATTATTTCAGATCCAGATTCATTGATTGAAATATGTATTCCATGTGAAGAGCATGGATGTATTTCATGTGGTTCTGATGGTAAAGGATGTTTCAAATGCGCAGCAGGATTTGAATTAATTGATAATAAATGTATTGAAGATGAAACACCTATAACTCCAACTTTCAATCCATCTATAAATCCTTCTACATCTTCTTCATCAGCTACATATGAATCATCACTTGAATCATCACCACCAACTTCACCTTCAACATCAAGTAAAACAGAAAATCCTTCAAATACTGCAACAAATACAAATACAAATGACGACGGAAATTCATCAAGTAAATCAATGAAAACAGGATTAATTGTTGGTGTTGTTATTGTAATTATTGCAGTAATTGCTGCTGCATTGGTTGTTATTCTTTTAATCAAACGTAGGAAATCTTCTACAGTAGTTGCAATTGTAACTGATGATATATCTGGAGAAATGAACCAAGAATCAATTCAAGATAATATAAAAAATAATTATAATAATTATAATTCAACAGATAATCCTATTATTACAGCAGATACTTCAGAATTTCAAGTTGCTGAAGATCCATTCATCAAAGATTTTGAAGAATCAATTAAATAATCAATATAATTCTCTAAAATCTATCAAAAAAAATCTCAATCATTTCAGATCAATAAATAGATTTTTTAAAGAATAATTAATAATCAATTAAACCATCGAAGAGTTGACTTATTTTTACATCCATTGGCATGAAATATAAATATTATAGTAGAATAAACATTCAAATATGCCTTAATTCACTTTTTTGCATATCACTTTATCTAATATAAATAAAAATAATAATAATAAAAAGCAATATTTCATTAAAGATTTAAACAAGAATTTATTAAAAGTAAATTGATAATTAATTGATATTTATTGATTTTTAAGTGATGATTTGACTTTGCAATGCTTTTTTTTTGATAAAATTATTAGATTTGAATATTTTTTATATAACATTTGAATATTTAAAATTATTTAAAAATATTAAAAATATTCATATAGCCATTCGCATATTAAACCATTTGAATATTTTTAAATAGCTTAAAATTATCAGGAAAAAATATTGAAACTTACAAAATAATAAATATAATATTATTTTTTTTATCATTTCATATAAATCAATCAAGAAATTGGAGAAAGGAATTTATAATGTTCTATAGTATAGGAATAAACATTTTTTTTTAATTCATTATGAATAAAATATTTAAATTTTTTATCCGAAATCATTCAAAACTGGCAAAAACGAATTGACTTTTGTTTTTACTCCTTTGTAAAATATTTATTTTATTTTTTTAAGCACAAGTTACTAATATTATATAATTCAAATTATCATTTCTAAATTGAATGTTCTAAAAATTTTATTTTAGGGAAGCTACTTTCTTTTTTGGCGTCATATGTTTTTTCTTCAATATTGTTTACTCGAGAATCTTTACATAAGTTGGAAAAATATAATAAAGTTGCATTTTTCATTAGGAAAAAAACGATTATTTTCAATTGAATTTCATATTAATTCATATCTTGGAATTTCTACATAGACTTTTTAAAATAATAATTTTATAAA